CCTCCACCTTCTCCACCTTCTTCACCTCCACCTTCTCCACCTCCACCTTCTCCACCTTCTTCACCTCCACCTTCTCCACCTCCACCTTCTCCACCATCGCCAGATTCTCCACCTTCTCCAGTTTCTCCTGGTCCTCCATCTCCGCCTCTTCTACGTCTTCCACCTTCTCCACCTTCTCCACCTCCACTACCTCCACTACCTCCACTACCTCCACTACCTCCTCCATCCCCACTTTTTTCCCTCGTGTTCACATCCACCTTCTCTCAGACTTACCCCTGCTCTGTCGCCTGCTGCTCGTTCTTCTCCTTGGGCAAGCGGCGACCCAGCAGGGGTAAGTCTGAGTGATAAGGTGGATGTGAATATGGGGGAGAAAAAAGTGGGGATGGAGGAGGTAGTGGTCTGAGTGGTGAGCTCCTTTCTGAATTCGCGTACGTCTCCTCTTGTAATCGCGTCCGTTTTCGTCCTCGTAGTCTTCCTCCTCCTCCTCCTCTCTTGGTCGTCCTCTAGGGTCATTCGTCTGGCAGCGTCATCCTCGATCGTTGTCCTTTTTTTTTTTCTTTTTTTTTTTTGTCCTGCTTGCGCTGTCGTCCGTTTTGTTCTGCTCTTCACCCTCTTCTCTACTGAGCTCACTCCTCTCCTCTCTCCTCTGCTTTTCCTCCTGCTTCGTCTTCTATACCCTTATATCCTTCTCCTTCCTCGTTGAAGAAGAACGTCTCGTCGTTTTAGACAGCAGCGGGTTGATGAAGAAGAAGGATGGAAGACAACGATAAGCTTAGGGAAGACCTGTCTCTTATACACATCTAGATGTGTATAAGAGACAGCCTTATATCCTTCTCCTTCCTCGTTGAAGAAGAACGTCTCGTCGTTTTAGACAGCAGCGGGTTGATGAAGAAGAAGGATGGAAGACAACGATAAGCTTAGGGAAGACGATCGGCTACCCACTAACGATAAGCGGGTTGATGAAGAAGAAGAACGTCTCGTCGTTTTAGACAGCAGCGGGTTGATGAAAATTACGCACTAACGCTTATCGTTGTCTTCCCCATCCTGATCGTCTTCTCGACGCTTATCAGGTGGTTAATTTACCATCCTGATCATGCATGGGCCATTGGACAGGAGGTGCAGAAGACGTGGGGAGGAAAAGAGGGGAGGAGGCTAGGAGAGCAAAAGAGCAGAGGATGATGGGGAGGAGAGGAGGATGGGAAGGAATGATTGAGAGCCGCCCGCCATGATAATCTTGTAGGGAAAAAAAGGGAAAAAAAAGAAAAAAAAGGAAAAAAAGAGGGAAAAAAGAGGAAAAAAAGGAGGGAATATGGAGGGGAAAAAGAGGGGAAAAAGGGGAAAAAAGAGGGGAAAACAGAAAAAAAAGAGGGGGAAAAAAAGGGGAAAAAGAGAGAAAGGTAGGGCAGTGAGAAATAGAGTTGCCATCGTATCCGCCGACTGGCGTTGTGATGAACGGGTTGGGAGGAGAGGAGAGGAGAGGAGAGGGGAGGAGGTTTTAAAAACAATAAGATGGAGGATTGCTTGCGAATGCGAACAGTGATTGTTTCTGAACTAACTTGCGCGCGGGAGTGTTGTTTTTTATGTTTTAATTTACAAGCGCGGGATTTCTGTCTTTCTGTTGTTTTTTTTTTTCAATTACAAGCGCGATAGTTTTTTTTTTAATTACAAGCGCGGGCAGCTGAACGAGAGTGATGGTGTGAGAATGGTGAGGCTCGTGCGACAACGTGATGGTGATGATGACGATGATGGCGGTGAAGATGACCATGATGATGATGATGATGATGATGATGATGATGATGGCGATGATGATGATGATGGTGGTGATCATGGTGATGATGATGGTGACGATGATGATGGTGACGATGAGGAGAAGGAGGAGGTAGGGGGCCGTTGAAACGAAAGGAAGCAGAAGAGGCGGGAAAAAAAATAAAGGAGGAGATTATGGGAGGAAGATTCATCCATCGCTATACCGTGGGAGTCGTCAAATGGCGCGGAGAAGAGGTAGAACCTCGGGCAGCGCTACCGTCTTCACCGCGAATAGAACGTGCGGTCAAAATGGCTGCACTTGGGCGAACTGTCAGTCTAGATACGGCTACAAGGACGGTACGCTCTATTCGGGTGGAGACGGTAGTGGGCTGTGGCCTGTACAGAACGATGGTTTTGGCGGGAAAGAAAGGGGAAGGGTGATGATTCGGCGATGGTGGGATGGAGGTTATGATGAGAATGAAGATGACAAAATGATGGTGTATGCTACCGTGTTCACTCGAATAGAACGCACGGTCGTTATATTCACCCAGAAAATCGGACAGAATATGTGTCAAAGCCACAGTCCCCGGCCCCCCCCCCCCGCCCTCCTTCCCCCCGAAAAATAAAAAATTAAAAATTTGCGCCACAGCGCCTCCCCCCCCCACCAAAAAAAAAACTGCGCCACAGCATGATTTTATATGCGTATAATTATCCTATGGCACTTCTCTTTATTATTATTATTTTTTTTTTTGTTTTGTTTTTGCCACTTCTTGGTGGATATATACTATATCGACCCAAGGCGCGATATTATATTATTGTGTATTGTCTATTGGCTTCCATGATGACGAGTGATTGCGCTCACCCTTCCACACCCCCCCCCTGATTTTCTCATTTTTTTTATTTTTTATTTCCTCACTTTTTCCGGTCCGGTACATGGTACTTTTTTTTGTTTTGCTTATGTGCAGATGCCGAAGAGGACTATATGATTATATAATGTTTATTCAAAATATTAATTGAAAATAGCAAAGCTGAGGTGGCAGTGGTCCAGTGCTCCTGGAGAATTTTGATTCGTCTACATGCATGCGGGGCCTTTCTCAGTCGTGACTCGTGATACAGATTGTTACTTTTCACTGCTAAACACTTCTTAAAAAAAAAAGAAAAAAAAAATGTTCTTGAAAAAAAAAAAAAAAAACAGTTTCCTCTGTCAATGTTCCATAATTTTTTATCAACTTCGAATGAGCAAGCTAACATGACTTCTTTTTCTCGGTCACATGATTTACCATCGCGTCCATCAGATTGTCAAATTGTTTTTTTTGTTTTTTTTTTTTGGGTGTGTGTGTGTGTGTGGGGAGGCGAGGTGACCAGGCCGTCCGGCCTGGACGGGTCAGGACGCACCTGACCGAAATTCCGGTCAGGTGCGTCCTGCATCGTCTCGGGCGCGGACGAGGCCGGGACCAGCGTTGTTGAGTAACGGGGACAACCCTGAATGAGTTCAACAGCATTCATTCAGCTGTACTCTATATTTTTTTTAAGCTTGCATTCGCCAATCCTCTTGCTTAGGCAGGATATAATCCATCCATCCATCCATCCATCCATCCAAAAAAAATAAAAATAAAAATAAAAATAAAAATAAAAATAAAAATAAAAATAAAAAAATCCATCCATCCATCCATGCACTACGTAATTTATTTCCATCCACTCATGTGCGCATTCCTTTCTCTCTTAGTTCATCTTGATTGCATGTGGGTTCGAACTTGGGTGTTGTCTATTTCAACAGTTCATGGGTGTGGTGGTTCCAACTGATCTAGAGGCCCGTTGGTTTCATCCATTAATGATTTATCGATTTATCCATTCATGCAGTCATCCACTGAGACTTTCATCCATCCTTTAATGCATGCATTTGTCCATTGATTCTTTCATCCATTCACGCATTCATCCAGCGATTTGTAGACTGATGCATCCGTGCTTGCGTTCATCCATGATTTACTGATTCATTCATTTGTCGGCGATCCATTCATTCCAGTCATTCATTCATTGATCGGTTTACAACAGGCATTCAATGATTGTCTAATGTGGATTCGTGGAAACATGAGTTGCAATAGAGTGTAGGCTGCACAAAAAGGCAAATGATGATGGACACGTGGAGCAAGACAAGCTACTCCAACAATACTCTCTCTCTCTCTCTCTCTCTCTCTCTCTCTCTCTCTCTCTCTCTCTCTCTCTCTCTCTCTCTCTCTCTCTCTCTCTCGCTCGCTGTTGCTGTCGCTCTCTGTTTTCTATGTCTATCAAATTATGTATCCCTATCTATCCATTCGGAGTCGGGGAGCTGCAAAGTTTTCTGGACCACTGGGCTATTTGCTACCTATCTACTCTCTTTCTCTCTCTCTCTCTCTCTCTCTCTCTCTCTCTCTCTCTCTCTCTCTCTCTCTCTCTCTCTCTCTCTCTCTCTCTCTCTCTCTCT